GTTTTAAGTCAATGGTTAGTAGAATACTGCTGGAATATTTAACTTGTTCTTTGAGGTCTACTGTACTCATGAATGCATGGGTATGATCTCAGTTATTTGTATGAAACCATGCCTGATAATGCACAGAGGCTAAGTGGTTAGCACTTTTGCCTGGCAGTACTAGGGGGCGTTGGTTCAAATCCCAGCCACAGTAACACCTTCCTGGAGTTTGCATGTTCTCCCTGTGCCTGCGTGGGTTTCCTCTGGGTACTCTGGTTTCCTCTCATGCTCCAAAGACATGCTGGTAGGTGAATTGGCTCCTGTCTAAATTGTCCCTAGTATGTGTATGTATGAAGGTAAGTTAGGGACCTTAGATTGTATGCTCCTCAGGGGCGGGGACTGATGTGGATGTACTACATATATATATTTATATATCTAAAGAGCTGCGTAAATTGACAGTGATATAGAAGTAGCGGAAAAAAATAAGGGGGGTGTCCTATTTACAAAACATTTGTTAGGTGAATGTGACATGTATTTGTCCAGCCGTGACGAATTCAGGTCGAAAATTTAATCAGCACAACGTTTCCTATATTGTGGAATATTCCTGAAATACCTTCAACAGGAAAATCAGCAATAATGCAACATGGCCACTCGATGGAGCCAGTGATCATAGGAAATCACTGCATCAACCCACTTGCCCTCCAGAGGACTCCCCTCTCCTGACCAGGCTATTTTTTGTGATTTGGTGTTGCATTACTGTAACTGACAATTGCGCGGTCATGCAATGCTGCATCCAAATGAAATTTACATCCTTTTTTTCCCCCCACAAATAGAGCTTCTTTTCGGTGGTATTTGATCGCCTCTGTGTTTTTAATTTGTTGCACTATAAAAATAAAAAAAAAAAGACAATTTTGAGAGAAAAAAACAATATTTATGACTTTTTTTCCAATAAAAAATATAAAAAAAATATATACATTTAATCATAAATTTGGCCAAAATGTATTCTGCTCAGTCTTTTTGCTAAAAAAAAATATCCCAATACGTGTAAATTAATTGGTTTACGTGAAAGTTATAGTGTTTACAAATGGCGGTATACAGTATCTCCCAGAAAGTGAGTCCCCCCCCTCCCCCGGACTGTATACAATATATATACAGTATCTCCCAGAAGTGAGTCCCCCCCCCTCCCCCGGACTGTATACAATGTATATATATCCAGTATCTCCCAGAAGTGAGTCCCCCCCTCCCCCGGACTGTATACAATATATATATATCCAGTATCTCCCAGAAGTGAGTCCCCCCCCTCCCCCGGACTGTATACAATATATATATATCCAGTATCTCCAGAAGTGAGTCCCCCCCTCCCCCGGACTGTATACAACAATGTATATATATCCAGTATCTCCCAGAAGTGAGTCCCCCCCCCCACTGTATACAATATATATATATATCCAGTATCTCCCAGAAGTGAGTCCCCCCTCCCCCGGACTGTATACAAAATATATATATATCCAGTATCTCCCAGAAGTGAGTCCCCCCCTCCCCCGGACTGTATACAATATATATATATATCCAGTATCTCCCAGAAGTGAGTCCCCCCCTCCCCCGGACTGTATACAATATATATATATCCAGTATCTCCCAGAAGTGAGTCCCCCCCTCCCCCGGACTGTATACAATATATATCCAGTATCTCCCAGAAGTGAGTCCCCCCCCTCCCCCCGGACTGTATACAATTATATATATATATCCAGTATCTCCCAGAAGTGAGTCCCCCCCTCCCCCGGACTGTATACAATATATATATATCCAGTATCTCCCAGAAGTGAGTCCCCCCCCCCCCCCCGGACTGTATACAATATATATATATCCAGTATCTCCCAGAAGTGAGTCCCCCCTCCCCCGGACTGTATACAATATATATATATCCAGTATCTCCCAGAAGTGAGTCCCCCCCCTCCCCCGGACTGTATACAATATATATATATATCCAGTATCTCTCAGAAGTGAGTCCCCCCCTCCCCCGGACTGTATACAATATATTATCCAGTATCTCCCAGAAGTGAGTCCCCCCCTCCCCCGGACTGTATACAATATATATATATATATACAGTATCTCCCAGAAGTGAGTCCCCCCTCCTCCCCCGGACTGTATACAATATATATCCAGTATCTCCCAGAAGTGAGTCCCCCCCCTCCCCCGGACTGTATACAAAATATATATATATCCAGTATCTACCCAGAAGTGAGTCCCCCCCTCCCCCGGACTGTATACAATATATATATATCCAGTATCTACCAGAAGTGAGTCCCCCCCTCCCCCGGACTGTATACAATATATATATATACAGTATCTCCCAGAAGTGAGTCCCCCCCTCCCCCCGGACTGTATACATTTGCGCGTTCCAATATATATATATATACAGTATCTCCCAGAAGTGAGTCCCCCCTCACATTTGTGTAAATATTTGATACTCTCTTTCCATGTGACAACACTGAAGAAATGACACTTTGCTACAATGTGACGTAGTCAGTTGTACAGCTTGTATAACATGTAAATTTGCTGTCCCTCAAAATATCTCAACACACAGCCATTAATGTCTAAACCGCTGGCAACAAAAGTGAGTCCACCCCTAAGTGACAAGGTCCAAATTGGGCCCAATTAGCCATTTTCCCTCCCCGGTGTCACGTGACTCGTTAGTGTTACAAGGTCTCAGGTGTGAATGGGGAGCAGGTGTGTTAAATTTGGTGTTATCACTCTCACTCTCTCATACTGGTCACTGGAAGTTCAACATGGCACCTCATGGCAAGGAACTCTCTGAGGATCTGAAAAAAAGAATTGTTGCTCTACATAAAGATGGCCTAGGCTATAAGATGATTGCCAAGACCCTGAAACTGATCTGCAGCACGGTGGCCAAGACCATACAGCGGTTTAACAGGACAGGTTCCACTCAGAACAGGCCTCGCCATGGTGGACCAAAGGAGTTGAGTGCACGTGCTCAGCGTCATATCCAGAGGTTGTCTTTGGGAAATAGATGTATGAGTGCTGCCAGCATTGCTGCAGAGGTTGAAGGGGGGGGGGTCAGCCAGTCAGTGCTCAGACCATACACCCACACACTGCATCAAATTGGTCTGCATGGCTGTCATCCCAGAAGGAAGCCTCTTCTAAAGATGATGCACAAGAAAGCCGCAAACAGTTTGCTGAAGACAAGCAGACTAAGGACATGGATTACTGGAACCATGTCCTGTGGTCTGATGACACCAAGATCAACTGATTTGGTTCAGATGGTGTCAAGCGTGTGTGGCGGCAACCAGGTGAGGAGTACAGACAAGTGTGTCTTGCCTACAGTCAAGCATGGTGGTGGGGGTGTCATGGTCTGGGGCTGCATGAGTGCTGCCGGCACTGGGGGGCTACAGTTCATTGAGGGAACCATGAATGCCAACATGTACTGTGACATACTGAAGCAGAGCATGATCCCCTCCCTTCGGAGACTGGGCCTCAGGGCAGTATTCCAACATACCGACCCCAAACACACCTCCAAGACCACCACTGCCTTGCTAAAGAAGCTGAGGGTTCAGGTGATGGACTGGCCAAGCATGTCTCCAGACCTAAACCCTATTGAGCATCTGTGGGGCATCCTCAAATGGAAGGTGGAGGAGCGCAAGGTCTCTAACATCCACCAGCTCCGTGATGTGGTCATGGAGAAGTGGAAGAGGACTCCAGTGACAACCTGTGAAGCTCTGGTGACCTCCATGCCCAAGAGGGTTAAGGCCAGTGCTGGAAAATAATGGTGTCCACACAAAATATTGACAGTTTGGGCCCAAATATGGACCTTGTCACTTAGGGGTGGACTCACTTTTGTTGCCAGCGGTTTAGACATTAAATGGCGGTGTGTTGAGTTATTTTGAGGGGACAACAAATTTACATGTTATACCAACTGTACACTGACTACGTCACATTGTAGCAAAGTGTCATTTCTGCAGTGTTGTCACATGAAAAGATAGAATCAAATATTTACAAAAATGTGAGGGGGGACTCACTTCTGGGAGATACTGTATACTGGAATTTTTATTTTTACTAGTAATGGCGGCAATCAGTGACTTATAGCAGGACTGTGGTGGACATTCTGCATTCTGACACTGGCGGGGAAACTGACTTGGTGTCACTGACTTCCCGAGTGACACCAATACAGTGATCAGTGCTAATAAAAAGCACTGACACTGTACTAATGGCACTGGGCAGGAAGGGGGTAATATGTGGGGCGATCAGAGGGTTAACTGTTGCTGGGAGTGTTTTACTATGTGGGCGGTGTGTGTGTGTTTCCCTGTAAGTACACTGCTATGCAGAGCCATACAAAGCAGTGTGCAGGAGCTGACAGGAGAGAGATCTCTATTGTTTACTTACAGTTCTCTCTCCCTTCGTCAGTAATGCTCCTCAATCACCTGGTGCCGGCGAGTAATCACCAGCTAGGACCCGGTGATTGACAGCCGAGGCTGCGAATTGCGGCACGGGCCGTGTGTGCCCCCTACATGGAGGGTATATATGTGTGATTTTGTGAACCCGTGCTGCCCTGTAGCAGTATTACTGCTATAGGGTGGACGGGAAGCGGTTAAATAAACTATGGCCAATATTCGTCACGGTTGAGCGAATGTTGGTCACATTCGTTCAACAAATTTTGAAAAATAGACCTCTAAATGTTTGTGAAATTTTCCACCACAAAATGTACTCAGCCAATGACAGGTGATGACTCCATTTTTATTCTTCTCCTGCTATCAATGTCCCACACACAATGTCTTTGGTGACCTCTGATCTCCTTATGAACGGTTTCTTCCATGATGAAGATCAGCCATGGAGTATATCTGAGGTGTATATCAGGGTGTGCTTCTTCCCCACATGAGAGCTGGGATGTCCAGCAACATTCATCTAGAAGACATTTCCCGCACTCAAGGCACTAATACACCTCCAGGGTTGTGTGGGACCCCTGATGTACAGGAAGACAGGACTTCAGTGAGGAACATTTCCCTCACTCAGGACAGGAAAGTGGCTTCTCCCCCGTGTGAGATCTCTGATGTCTGTAAAGACTGGAGTTCTGTGAAAAACATTTCCCGCACTCGGGACAGGAATACGGCTTCTCCCCCGTATGAAACCTTTGATGTTTGGTAAGAACTGATTTTGTTCCAAAAACATTTCCCGCACTCAAAACAAGAAAAAGGCTTCTCGCCAGTGTGTGGGATCTTTGATGTATAATAAGATTGGACTTCTGTGAAAAACATCTCCTGCACTCAGAACAGTAATATGGTTTTTCCCCCGTGTGAGATCTCTGATGTCTGACAAGTTTTGATTTTTTTACAAAGCATTTCCCGCACTCAGGACAGGAATACGGCTTCTCTCCTGTATGCAATCTCTGATGTATTGAAAGAGAAGACTTCTCTGAAAAACACTTTCCGCAATGAGGACAAGAAAATGGCTTCTCGCCCGTGTGAGATCTTTGATGTGTCACCAGGTTTGATTTCTTTGAATAACATTTCCCACACTCAGGACAGGAAAACGGCTTTTCATCCATGTGAAACCACTGATGTGTGACAAGTTCTGATTTTTGCACAAAACATTTCCGCACTTAGGACAGGAATACGGCTTATCCCCCGTGTGCAATCTCTGATGTCTATAAAGAGGTGACTTACCTGAAAAACATTTCCCGCACTCAGGACAGGAATATGGTTTTTCCCCCGTGTGAAATCTCTGATGTATTGAAAGATAGGACTTGTTTGAAAAACATTTCCCGCACTCAGGGCAGGAATGTGGCTTCTCACCTGTGTGAGTCCTTTTATGCTTTCTTAGAACAGATTTAAATTTGAAACATTTCCCGCACTCAGTACATGAGAACCTCTTCTCTGTATGAAGACCGGCCCGGTCCCGCACAGTCTGAGGTTCCTCAGGATAGGATAGGATAGGTCCATCTACACTGGGTGGTGCCGGATGGACATTGGAGGGAGCCGGGTTTTCTCCTGGACTATACTGTGTGATGTCCTCATCTTCTACTTTCCACTCTGGAGACAAAGTGAGACAATCCTCGGAGGTTTTCCTCATCTCCCGGCCATGGACTAAAATACAAAGACAAAGAGGATTACTAGACAGGAGCTGATTGGTTCCCCCAAACCAGGACTCCACCCACACCAGGCAGCTTGGTCTCTGAGGAGCTTACAATTCCACCCTCAAGGGAACTAGGAAATGGCTCCTCTGATCTCCTACCAGGTCATTTCTTTATTCATGGACCTTAGTCAGAGAGTGAGGAAACAACCAGAACTGTCTTTTATAGGAGGGACAGTGATGAGGGGATTATAGGACGAGGGTCCCCACCCCCTCTATCACTCATCGCCATCTTCCCAACACAAGAAGTACTGCACTTCCTTATTTAGTCCATGATTTAGTCATGAAGAACAGCGGGGCTGAGCCCCACCAGAGGTCAGAGAGTGAGGATGGGGGAGAACAACCAAGATGAAGACTGGACTGATCCTGAAGACCACCATCATTGGGGTATTGACTCCTCCCTCATTATCACTTTCTGTTTAAGGGTCCAAAGTTGGAGGATGTTATCACATTATTATCACCATGTAAAAGTCTGTGCTCCAATCACATCATCCGATATAAAATGTCCAGCTGGTAGGAATGGGGTGTAACAAAAGAGAATCCATATTATGTGTATATATAGCAGTGGGGGGAGGGGGGAGAGCAGAAGTCAGGAGTATGTAATGTACAACATGGAGAGTATATAGTGCAGGGGTCAGGAGTATGTAATGTACAACATAGAGTATATAGTGTCAGGGCTCAGGAGTATGTAATGTACAACATAGAGTATATAGTGCAGGGGTCAGGAGTATGTAATGTACAACATAGAGTATATATAGTGCAGGGGTCAGGAGTATGTAATGTACAACATAGAGTATATAGTGCAGGGGTCAAGAGTATGTAATGTACAACATAGAGTATATAGTGCAGGGGTCAGGAGTATGTAATGTACAACATAGAGTATATAGTGCAGGGCTCAGGAGTATGTAATGTACAACATAGAGTATATAGTTCAGGGGTCAGGAGTATGTAATGTACAACATAGAGTATATAGTGCAGGTGTCAGGAGTATGTAATGTACAACATAGAGTATATAGTGCAGGGGTCAGGAGGATGTAATGTACAACATAGAGTATATAGTGCAGGGGTCAGGAGTATGTAATGTACAACATAGAGTATATAGTGCAGGTGTCAGGAGTATGTAATGTACAACAGAGAGTATATAGTGCAGGGGTCAGGAGGATGTAATGTACAACATAGAGTATATAGTGTAAGGATCAGGACTCATAATATTCATATTCAGTAATCAGTGGAAGCTTAAATGTTTCCTGTAGACAAGTTGCAGAGGTCCCACACCGCTGCCTCCCATCTCCTGAGACTGCACTCAGTGACTTGGGTCTGAGACTATACAGACATATCCCTCCACCCGGCACAGCCAGTAGACTACAGAGCAACTAACTCTGGGAGAATTGTTCTGTCAGAGGACTGGTTAGACCCGGACATGGGGAAGAAGACCCAAGTCAAATGCTACAGATGCCTAGTTCAAGCAACGTCTACGGTGAAAAAAAAAATGTTGCTGGCCGATTAACCCCAGAATCTACAGATAACAGAGAAGGAAGATTATCCAAGAGAAATCCAGGAATACAGGACGGGGAACACAGCTCAGGAAAGTGACCAGGGGATTACAGGCTGATATCACCCAGTCCCCGCCCTACTCTGGACCAATCAGTGAGCAGTATGGGTGGAGGAATGGATTTAGTGTTCATGACCCACCTGTGCTGATCTCTGTAGGAGTGTCCTCCTCTATAAATGTCCCCGTTATTCCATCCTCCTCCATAGACTGCTGATCATCCCTCACATACGCCTCTTCTTCTTCTGATTTCACCTCAACTTTATATCTATCAGATCTTCAGCCTAAACCAAGAGAGTGAGAAAATATCATCTGTAAAATAAAAGCTTTAATGTGATATTACATAATGGGGTTGATTTAGTAAGGCAAATATATTGTGCATCACCAGGGCAGTTGTTCCAGAGCTTAGAAAATTAGGTATAACTTCACTTTGCAAAGAATACCCAATCACATGCAAGGAAAATAAAAACAGCATTTTTGCTTAAACATAACTGGATGATAGAAATCAGCAGAGCTCCCCGTCATTTCAGGGTTTCCCCTCAGATCTAGAACAACTGCACTTGCAGTGCACAGACAATTTCCCACCAACCTTGTAATGGTGAGGGATGGTGTGACCTTCCTGTGTGGAATCCCAGGAATACAGAGGATGGGGACATCTCTCTGGTGGGTTCCTGGTATTAGGTGGCTCCATCATATCTTTTTGTCCTTCTGAAAACTCCTCCATCACTCCATACTCCTCATCCTCCTCTTTATACTCTTCTTTAACATCAATATTATCATCTCCGAGGATTCCACTCTGAAAGATATAAAAAAATGCCATCAATGGTAACAATGCAGATAATGTACAGATCCTAATGATACTATCAGTGATTGTTCCTCATCTACCTGATGATGGTGAGGGATGGTGTGACCTTCCTGTGTGGAATCCCGGGAATACAGAGGACAAGGACATCTCTCTGGTGGGTTCCCATGACTGGATCCATCTACCTGATGATGGTGAGGGATGGTGTGATCTTCCTGTGTGGAATCCCGGGAATACAGAAGACGGGGACATCTCTCTGGTGGGTTCCCATGACTGGATCCATCTGTAGGAAAACACACACACTGACTGAATCCATTGTTTCTATGTGTTTATCAGATGATGGGGGATCTAGGTGGATCCTCCGTACTGCTCTCTCCTTTACAATAAAGTCTCCTCTTACCCGGTGATGTGAGGGGCGGCTGATTGTCCATCATGACGTCCTTGTAGAGATCCTTGTGTCCTTCTAAATACTCCCACTCCTCCATGGAGAAATAGACAGTGACACCCTGACACCTTATAGGAACCTGACACACACAATGATACAGTCACCATCCAGACACATCCCTTGTCTGTTACTGGAGAATGTCCCAGAATTCCCGGCACCGCTCACCTCTCCTGTCAGCAGCTCCATCATCTTCTTGGTGACTTCTAGAATCTTCTGCATGTTGTGTCTCTCAGGTTTTAGGGGGTCACATGGAGGCACTGTGATGGTCATATGATCACCTGACTTCAGAAGAGGAAATCTCTGTATTGAGGAACCAATAGGAACATCATGTTAGACTCCCAGAATCCTCCTCACCTCTCCGGTCAGGTCTGTGTTTTTTATTAATAGAGATAAGAGTGATGTCATGTGATCTCCCAGAATCCTCCTCACCTCTCCGGTCAGGTCTGTGTTTTATTACTAGAGATAGGAGTGATGTCATGTGACCTCCCAGAATCCTCCTCACCTCTCGGTCAGGTCTGTTTTATTAATAGAGATAAGAGTGATGTCATGTGACCTCCCAGAATCCTCCTCACCTCTCCGGTCAGCAGGTAGATGATCTCCAGGGTGAGGTTTAGTATCTTCTCAGTCATGTGACTCCGGTCCTCCTCCATCCTCATTGGTGCCATCATGTGATCTATACAGGTCTCCTTGTAGACGGATAACTTTGGGAAATGAAAGTAAGAATGATTTGGATGGTATTGGCCACACAATAATAGGATGTGGATGTGAGGGGGGATAGGAGGGTTGCTGGACATTTCAGGACTACTGCCCCCATGGGAACACATTAATTTTGGACTGCTTAGTGTTTGCTGCATTTTTGAGGTCCCAGGACTCTTAGCATGTCAGATCATAAATTCAATCCTTATTCTGTCTTCATGTGTTTGCTCTGAGGCAGTGCTGTGCAGTCAATGTCGCGTCATCGTGATGTCCAGGAATGAGAACTTGCAGTGCCAGAACTACCAGGGTTACAAAGGTTGTACTTACGACCAGACCTTGGCGTTCCGCAACTGTGGGGGGCGAGGCCCTAAGAGCCCAGAATGCGGCTCCACGGCAGGGTGGCTGGTTGCAGTTGTAAGGAGAGTGTCTGTTACGCTCTCTCTTACACTTCCTAGCCACAGCACTGACAGATTTGTGGACTTTAATGTAAGGTGAGGGCTCTGCGAATTCTGATGTAAAGCAAGGGGGGTCTGTGGAATCTAATGTAAGGGAGCCTCAACAAACTCTGATGCAAGGGAGGCTCTGTGGACTTTGATGTAAGGGGGGCTCTGTGGATTCTGATATTGTGGGGCTCTGTGGACTCTGATGTAAGGGGGGAGCTGAGGACTCTGATGTAAAGGGGGGAGACTGCCGACTCTGATGTAAGAAGGGGGCTCTGCCGACTCTGATGTAAGAAGGGGGCTCTGCCGACTCTGATGTAAGAAGGGGGCTCTGCCGACTCTGATGTAAGAAGGGGGCTCTGCCGACTCTGATGTAAGAAGGGGCTCTGCCGACTCTGATGTAAGAAGGGGGCTCTGCCGACTCTGATGTAAGAAGGGGGCTCTGCCGACTCTGATGTAAGAAGGGGGCTCTGCCGACTCTGATGTAAGAAGGGGGCTCTGCCGACTCTGATGTAAGAAGGGGGCTCTGCCGACTCTGATGTAAGAAGGACTCTGGGAAGCCTGATTAAAAGGGGAATGCTGGGAACTATGATGTATGTTGGGGCTCTGGTTACCAGAGACCCCCTTATATCAGAGTTACCCTTTACACCAGAGTCTGCAGTGTTCCCCCTTATAGTGTGGGGGAACTCGGTGGATTCCGGTGTAAAGGGGGAACTCGGTGGATTCCGGTGTAAAGGGGGAACTCGGTGGATTCCGGTGGATTCCGGTGTAAACGGTGGCTCTTATGAGG